TCAGACTCCTGGGAACTCTGTGAAAATAATATCCCAGCCAGGCATGGTGGGGCATACCTTTAAGCCTCCAGCACTTGGGAGGCAGGCCGATCTCTGTGAGTTCAAGGCCAGCCTGGTCTACATAGTGAGTTCCAGGCCAGCAGGGGATACAGGGAGACCCTGTTTTCTAAATACCACTCAATGAGGTAGGCCAGTGACTTAAAAAAAAAAAAAAAAAAAAAAAAAAAAAAAAAAAAAAACAGAAAATAATTCCACAGGGGACATCAGCCCAACCATTGTGCAGCTCTTGAGGCCCTCAGCTTTTCTACTTCTCAGTTTTCCAAACCTCTCCTTCTCTTTCATGCTACTTCTCCCTTAATTCTCAGAAGCTCTATGGGAAAGGGGAAAACAAACACAAAAGAAAATGAAGACATCAATGCTTCTAAGTCTTGCTGTATTTAAGTATGGGGCCAGAAAGCAAAGAAAGTTACTATTTCTGACATAGCCCAAGACCCCCCTCACCTTCTTTCTCCTTACACATGATTTTGTGTTGAAATATCACCTTGGGACACAGTGTCTCCAGGCAATGATGGCTGTCAGGGTTTGATATGGGGGTCAGTTCTTAAGATGAGCTATTGCAAACAATTCATTCATAAATACATATTATACCTCATACCAGTTACACAGTTCAATGGAACCCAATCTCTCCCTCATTTACCCCATCATCTCCTACCCCAGCATCTCTAAGGTCTCACTTGAGTGACTAATGTGGCAGCCCTCAACTCAGCCCAGCACGTCAGCCTGCCACTTCTCCACTTCATTTAGGAAAGTGTCTACCCATGGCTTTCCTTCCATATCAGATTACTCCCTGTTTAAAGTGTGCCTGGATGATGCCTTTAAAATAAACCCCAAATTCCTGATTAGAACAATTAACTCAGACAGTTCCCTGGATACAATGTTCTCAAATCTTGGGATCTTGTATGTGATGCTCCCTCATAAAATGTGTTGATCCACCGTCACCTGGGAGGCCCCTATGGGCACCTCAAAATTCAGCTGAGATGTTACCACCACCCAGCAGTATTGCTTGACTGCCCTACATTCATCATTCTAGGACAGATGTCTCTCCTTCTGTTCCCTTAGTACTTTATAGCTGCGTCTACCATAGCCAGGATGCGGTGAGTATTTATTATCATCTTTACTTCTTCCTCAACCAGACTAAGAATTTATTTCAAATGGAAGCTGTAGCATTCATCTCTGTATCACCAGTAGACTCTCTGGCAAATAACAAGTGTTTGTAGAGAGTGTTGAGAGAAAGATAGAAAGGTGATTGGGTGAAGCTTAAAACATACCCAAGAGCATAGATATGTGCTTTCAAAGAGTCGGGGTTTATTAAAAGATACTTTAAATGGAGTTTTTAAGCAAGAGGGACACTCAGAGTATAGGAAGGAAGAGAGAGAGTCAAAACTCTGTAAGAAAGCATGACTAATGAACAGACCAGATACCTCTGAGTAGATAGGCTTAAGGAAGGTACTGCGGAAGAGAAGGTGCTTGATCTGGTCTTGAGAAAGGTCAAGCAATCACCAAATCTGTGGGAAAGTCAGGTAATGGTACTCGGTGGTGGTAACATCTCAGCTGAATTTTGAAGTGTCCGAAGGGACCTCCCAGGTGACAGTAGAACAACACATCTAGGCAGGGAGCATCACATACGAGATCCCAAGATTTGGGAGCATTCTATCTAGGGAACTGTCTGAGTTTATTGTGCTAATCAGGAATTTGGGGTTAATTTTAAAGGCATCAGCCAGGCAAAGAGGATCAGCATAACTTTTCTCCCTTAGAAGAATGCCTGTGGTGAGAATTAGAAGCAGACAGTGGCTGGAAAAGTACAGACCTGAATTAAATTAAGCAATGGGAGGGTAGGAACAGATGGAGAAGTTGCATTTTAAAAAGGAGTCCAAGGGCTGGAAAGATGGCTCAACAGGTAAGATCAGATACTCTTGCAGAGAACCAAAGTTCAGTTCTTAGCACCCACATCTGGCAGCTCACAACCTCCTGTAGCTCCAGCTCCAGGAGTTTGACACCCTCTCCTGGCCTCCACAGTCACCTGCATATATATGTGCACACACACACACACACACACACAAAAAAAAAAAAAAAAAAAAAAAAAAAAAAAAAAAAAAAAAAACCTTTTTTAAAAATATTTTATTGTTTTTTTGTGTGTGTATGTGTGTATTGCATGCATGAAGGTAAGTGCACCAGTGTCCTGCAATGCCTGCAGAGGACAGAAGAGGCTGTCAGATCCCCTGAAACTGGAGTTATAGACAGTTGTTAGCTTCCATGTGAGTGCTAGGATTCAAACCCAGCTCTTCTGCAAGAACAGCCAGTGTTATTAACCCCTGAGCCATCTCTCCAGCCCATAAAACCTTTTTTTAAAAAAAGGAGTCCAGAGTGATCCCCCACATCTAGCTTGCATGAATGTGGTACCTGTAGGTGGTGTCAAGGTTGGAGGATAGTTAGTTCCACACTGTTACCCTCAGCAGCCTGAGATATTTCCTTAATCTTTTAAGGACAAAAGGCAAAGCCGGGATTCTTGGCTTCAACACAGAAAAGAATATCAGAATGAGACAATAAGAGGCGGAGTTGGGTTTATGAAAGATAAAAAGGTGATCGGGTGAAGCTTAGAACATACCCGAGAGCATAGATATGTGCTTTCAAAGAGTCATTTAAAAAGACATTTTAAATGGAGTTTTTAAGCAAGAGAGTTAAGAGAAAGAGAGACATGGGGAAAAAATAAGACTTGCGGAAGTGTACAGGCTCCTCAAGGGAGAGTCAGTCAAGTGTCTTAGCAGTACACATGTACCTTTTTGATGGCTCTCAGGTTATATCTCAAAGGAACACTGAGAAGCTTTTTCTTCTTTTCTTCCTTTTTAACAAGTGAGATTGTAGGGTGGCTCCAGTTGTGCCTTGGACAGGATTATAATCTGATAAGGTAAAACCAGGAGCCACCAGGATTGCACAGGGGGTTAGGATATGTGTATTAGTATAAATATGGCTTCTGATGAGATTCCTAGAAAATTGCATTACAACTAGGAGGAAAGAAATGCCTTAAGCAAATGGTGTTAATTGTGTTGGAATTCTTGTTTCTCAGCTGGTGAAGCATGAACCAGACTCCTGGATGAGACCCTCCCTGTTCTTCCTGTGCCCCCATACTTTCCCTGTCTTTCTATTCTGCCTAAGTATCCCTGACTAGGATTGGAAACTAAGAGGAGAAAATGCTTTGGGGGAAGGTTAATAAGCTCCATCTGCTGCTGTTATGTTGGAGCTGTCTGTAGGGCATCAAGGTGAAGATGTCCAGTAACCAGTTGGCTGTAAGTCAGAAGCTCAGAAGAAAGTGGATCCAAGAATACTCTCTATGTAACTTAGTTGAAGCCTTAGTTTTCTCTAATTTAATGGCATGTCATGAAGTTTCTGTTGTGAGTAGACTGCTTGGGGTGAAAGAAGCATCCACTTTTGCTAGTAATTTAGATGCACAGCCTCCAGCAAGCTACTCTGCTGCAGAATCTAACAGCTGCCTATAGGAAAGGGGACAATTGAGGGGACCTGAAGAAAGATGTTAGCTTTAAAACAGATGTAGTCCTGTCTTCCTGGTTCTTCTGTGGAATAAGGTATAGCAGTGAGCACATCCTCTGCCACTGCCCCAACCCAGGCCTCCAAAGATTATCAAGGCACAGGAAGGGAAATCCTGACTCATGACATTGGAAATGGTGAGAGTCCCCTAAAGAGTCCCGTTTAGATAGAGATAGCACTTCCTTGATAGGGCAAGCATTGCGGGTCTCACTGCAATGGCCTCTTGCCATTGTGATGGTAACTGTCTGTTTTTTGTTCTTGCCCAGCCCTGCAGAACCCACTTGGCTATAGAGTTTTCTCATTTCTGTCAGCTTTTTACACTGAGACCTGCTGTGTTTAAGGAATCCGTCTAGAACAGACTTTTGCACAGCAACTCGTGCTACTCCTGGCTATTTTGTCTTAAGTAACTTGCACTGAAACAGGATATGTTTTAATTCAAACTCTCTGGCAGTGATGGTCCTGTGGGAGTTGCAGGATATGTTCAGGGTTGGAGCTCATTTTATCAGAACCTCTTTTCACAAAGGCTAAATGGGAACTGCTTATGGAGCGCAGGCATTTTTGACAATTTCAGAGGGAATTATGTTTAACCAAACAGCTCCTGGCAACCAGGTGTGAGCATGGCAAAGAGCAAACAAGGGTATTAGTCACATGTGGAGGATAAAGGCTCTCATTTTTAATTCAGTGGATGGTGATAGTAAACTCATCACCTAACTTGAATATCAACTAGCCACTGTTTACAATGAAGGAGATATTGCAATAGCACCCAGGGAAATTTAAATGATGCATAACAAAAATTCTCAGAGAAGCACAAAAACTAATCATTCCTTCCAATATGCTAAATTGGATACTGCATGAAGCCAAAAGCTGGCAATATGTTCAATGAAAACATCTAAGAATATTTACTTCTTGTTTCAAACAAAGGTTATTTTGAATTGTGGTTTCAGACCTATTTTCTAAGTTTTTTGTTTGTTTGTTTGTTGTTGTTGTTTTTAAGACAGGGTCTCCCTGTAGCCCCAGCTGTCCTAGAACTCACTATGTAGACCAGGCTGGCCTTAAACTTACAGACATCCGCCTGCCTCTGCCTCCTGAGTGTAGGCATTAAAGGAGTGTATCACCACACCCGGCCTATTGTCTAAGTTTTTAATGCCAATTAATTTACCTATAGCCTCTGCCATCCTGATTAATTATAAACAGCACATCTCCAGCCTCTATGGTTTAATAAAGTTGATAAAGTTTGCAGATTCAGGATGCAGCCAGGGATTAACCTCTTCTACAAGACAGGCAGATAGTTTAGATGCTCTTAAGAAATGAGTTTTCTAGGAGTGCTATTTGAATCTATTGGAAATGAAGCTTAAGTGAAACCACTTTGCCTGATTTAATTTTTCTTTAATTATCAGGTAGGAGATCAGATCATTGAAATCAACGGGGAAAGCACAAGGGATATGACACACGCCAGAGCAATAGAACTCATCAAATCCGGAGGAAGAAGAGTGAGGCTGCTGCTGAAGCGAGGCACGGGGCAAGTCCCAGAGTATGGTGCGTTTCACCCTTTCATTTTTGCCTCTCTTCTGCTTTTTCTGTATATTACAAATGCCCAAGCTTTTTCATAAAGCTGCATCAGTTCTCTTTTTATATCGCATACATATTTACTATCAATAGATAGATAAGCACACGTCTACTTAAGACCAAGATGTGTGTGTGTGTGTGTGTGTGTGTGTGTGTGTGTGCTCTTTTTTTTTGCTCCTACAACTAGGAAATGTTTAAAGTAGCAAATGTGTGAGCTTTCAGGGCATCTCTGAGTGTGCAGGGAGAGAGTGCAGAGCCACTTATATATTAGAACCTTTATAATTTAATAATACTCTGTTCATTTGAGTCTGCAGTAATTTACCGATTATTGCCTAAAATAATGACTGCATCAGACCATCCTGTAGGATTAGTAAATTGGGCCGGTAGACAAGACAGAATGAATCTTCAAGTTGTGGAATTTAAAATGGTAACTTCAGCTCATGGTATGGCTGCACTTCCTTGGCATTTGGAGATTGTTCCAAAAATTCATTCCTATGTTGTTTCCATATGCTTTTAAGGAATGCTTTAAAGTGCATTTTAAATCATAGTTTGCCTTCAAAAATCTTTAAAGGTGTTATTTCCCAGAAGCCTATTACAGGCATCATCAACAGTGTAACTAGTATAGCAGAAATAGCCAAGTGGTCTTTACATGACAAACATCAAAACCTGAGTTGGTCTTTAAAAATATTTTTCAGGACCTAGGGATGTAGCTCAGTGGCAACACACACAAACACAAAGCCTTCTGGGTTCTGTCACTAGCACTTTGAGAAATAAGTTAAAATAGAAACATCTTCAGATCAGAGACAAGCAGGTATCAGTGAAGAACAGTGCGGATAACACTATTCTGGGTAGAGACAGGACCTAGCCGCAGGCTGGAGCAGTGACTTCACATCTTGATCAAGATAAGGTAACTCATTTTCACTCCTCCCTAACTTACCCAAAAGAATTTCTAAAATGTGTTCTTCCCTTTAAAATAATGCTGTTTGCATTTGCTATCTAAATAACTGACTCTTGGTAGGACAGATCAGTGCCCTGGATTTAGCTGAAATCTGGAAATCAGAGGCCCTCAGAGACATACCCATATGTTCATATGCCACTTCATAAAGAGCTAGCAGGCCCTCAGGGTGAGTGGAAAGTATCCAGAAATTTCTTATAGGGCCTACTCTGTGCCCAAGGAAATACTTTTATCCCATGTTCCCACCCACAATGCTTGGATCTAATAAAATATTTTAAATATTAATATTAGCAATAAGTATAGGCTTAGTAAATGGTACCAATGTTTATCCCTTTGGGAAGAATCTGAACTCCTGAAATAGAATAATGTTTTACATCCTAGAGCATTAACTGATTCAATAAATATCGAAGTGACCTGTGAACTTCTATCACTCCAAAAATATACCCTATTTTAAAGGTGTGTTTCACCCCATGGCAAGACTTGACTATTTTCTAGCAAGGAATTTCAGAGTTACTGTTGTTCTTAATGGTCAAACAAGTGAATCTTTAAAAAGTTGCTCTGACCTGCTCCACTGTCCTCAGCTTCTCATTCCTTTGTAGAATTCACAGTGTTTGGTCTGTACTTCCAATATCTACCAGGCTAACTGCTTAGTAAGAAGCAGTAAGAAGTTAAAATAATACTGCCTCATAGTTATGCATTATACCATAAATCACCTTGAGGAAAACATAAAGACACATTTTGGAACAAGACACAAGTCCAAGACAAGTCAATACTATTTCATTCTTAACATCATCCAAATTCTCAAGTTAACCAATACAGAGAACTTTTAAATATCTGAGCACACTTCTGAGAGTCTACTTGTCAATACTGTGACTAGCTTTTGCAGTATTATAGATTTTTTTCTGAGTATATATTTTTCTAAACTAAGTATTCAGTCGTACTTGCTGATAATGTTGGAGCTTATTGACTGCCTTTGTCATTAGACATGGATTTTGACAGTAAAATAAGTTTAGAGATGATGAAGCAAAAGAAAATAGATTAGAGGAATGAATGCCCTCTGGGGAAGTAGAAGGATGGGCATACACTAAGCACACATTAGTTCTTCAGGAACTGCTACACTCAACAATACATAATGACATGCAAGAAACCAAAGGAGACTGGAAATCAGCTAGGCATTTTAGATGAGAATGCCTGACATCCAGTGATTTTCCTGGAATTTCATAGCAACTGATGGTAGGGCTCAAGGGCATCCAAGAGGACTCCTTCATTCAGAGATTGGTTAGGAGGGCTCCTGGGACACAGAATATTTTTGTGCAGCTACATAGTGGGGTCACATGGGACAAAGATCCAGGCAGTGCCTGAATGCATCCTCATGCAGGCTTTCTTACACTCACACTCCCTCCTATGAAGAGTCACCCAGAGTATACTTTGCCCCAGGCAGTAAAAATTTAGCAGTGGACCCAGGGAATTCATTAGCCACTCAGTACACATGATTTTCACTGGGGCAGGTCATACAGGGAGCCTCTGTCTAGCACATACCAAAATGCCAGACCCCTGGGAAGGAAAACAGATGTTCATTTCAGTACAACCATGTCATTTCTATATGCATTTAAAGTAAAATGAGGTGCAATTGTCATTTAGTACAAGGCTTATATTAGCATAGTGGATGATTTGCCAGTTACGTTCCCTGACACCAGCCCAGGACCACCCTCGCAAGCAGGAGTTTCTAAGCAGAGTGCTCTCAAGCCTGCTGGGTTAACTCTGCTCTGCATCAGGAACAAACCAAAGAGGTGGCCACCTTTGTGACTGTGTAAATGACCTCAACATACAAGCAGTGCCTATGGCTGAGAAACACAGTTCCTCCAACATCAGTATGAATTAGACCATGCTGTGAAACTTAATATTTCGTTCAAGATAAACTAGAGTGCATTGTAATAAAATGCTCCAAAGAGAATAACAGCAACAAGTCACAACAAAAGAAAATACTTGCATTCATCATGAGATAGAAGCAAGAATATAATCTGTTTTTTCCAGAGATACGCTAATCACAGAAAACCTGGTATTTTTCCTGTCAAGTATTAACTTAAACCTGCATGTTTCCTTAGTTTGCCCATCAAAATCCTAAACTTGTCATAATCCTTAAGAGATCATTAAAGGGAGTCATCGGCATCCATTGGAGATATACTTAACCTCTTAGGGAACTTTGGGGCTTAAGCCAGCCTGGGAAACATGGGTGCCAGGTTTTAAGTGATTCCACCAGCGTTCCCTCTGATACCTATAGAACCCAGGATTCAGAGCAGCTTTGAAGTGGGACCCTTATCTGGACTTGGGGACTTGTCAAGGAAAAGCTGATCTCATTCAAAAGAAATGCATAGCTGCCATTCTGAGTTCTTAGAGTGATCTGTGACAGAGAGATAAGTACGGGTACAATTGAAATTTTTTTTTTTTAAATACGAAGGGCAATCTGTCAGATCATTGACTAACCAAAATCGGTGCGACTCCAAGTGAGCTGAGGAAAGGAATAAATACACTGCAAACAAGCCAGCCATCATTACCATAAGACTGACACCTCAGCCAACTCAGAGGCATAAATCAACAAGCGTGGATGCACATGTCATGGCTACACACAGGCTGTAGAGCAGGTGCAGAGGGAGTTGGAAAATGATAAGAGCTTTGAAGAAGAAGTTGTTTTTACAGTCAAATCCTTGAAAGAGAAACTCAGGAGATGGGTACTTCAAGTGTAGTCCTCAGGATAAAATTTTGTTGATTATAAACTGAGTGGAAAGTGTACCTCCTCCCCGACGTGCCTCTCAGCCACTGGCAGGAATGAAGATACTTCTCTCCACCTACTGAGAATATTCAAAAATTGAGCACCCAAAGACATGCACTCTTCAGCACTGGTTGTTTTGCTCTTCAAATTAAACTTTAAAAGGTTAGGAGAAGAGGAAGTAGGTACCCTGGATGTTAAACTGCCCAGGAATAAATTATACAGATTAGCTGATGGCCTTGAAGAACAGGTGTCCTTCATTAACATTCAAGGTCAGGTATGCAGCCTATACATACTTGATTTGCAAACCCAGCTGTCCAGCCAGGGCCAAAGTAAACAGAGGTGTCATTGGATGAAAAAAATCCCTTAGTATTTCACATCAAAGTCGACTATTTCCCTCTGGAATATTCCCTACTTGAAATAAAACCAATACACTTTTCAGTCTTAGTGGTCATTCTCCCAAAGAGCATCAGGGCAGGTCTTTTTGTGCAGAACACTGAAGGCTGTGCAGTTGTCAGTTGGAGTCCCAATGAGCTTTAGGATCTTGATATGTATAATAAAACTGTTCTAAGTAAAGAAAAGAATCCGCTTGAGTCAGTAGCTATTTCTGAAGAAATGAGTGGACCAAGTAGTTGTTAGAAGTCTCCCTCTGACTTAAGACAAGCGTATCAGAACACCTATTCAGACAGAACTTGTCTTTAGTTGGATAGTAGTAAACAGTCCTTATTTGCACATTCTTCATAATAATTATATATACTGTCGAATAAATATTATAAGCATACTTTCATAGTCTTATAATTTTTTGGCCAGCAATCTCTTCCATCCTCTGATCAAAGATAAACTCCAGAAAATATGCTCTTAGCAAATACTACACCTGGGACAGGTCCTGAGATGGATGTTATTGATTATATAAACTAATGTTCTTCATCCAAACCAACACTTGCTGAGCACCTACTATGCGCATGGCACTTTGCAGGCACTGAAGGTGAGAAATAGTACTGCCCTCAGGAAGCTGACAGTCCCACGTTGGGGGGGTGGGAACAGGGATGGGACAGGTGTAAAGGCAGTTTCTAACAGTGGCAACTATTGAAGAAGCCTCAGAGGGACTGCTCTCAGGAAAAAATTTAAATGAGCTTATTAATTATTCATAGAATTTAATAAGTACTTCTAGAGAATTAGGAATTCTTGAAGAGCACTTGGGCCTCTTCTGTTAAGCATTTCCTTTGTAACAGTCAAGCTAATAACTTG